CAGACATTTAGTCGGCAAAATGTTCCTAGTGGGGAAGTGGTGGCTGATTTCACTTTCTGTAAGAAACAGAAACAGTTTGACTTTGGTATATTAGCCTGAAGATAACCGTGTAGATTAACGCGGTGTCACAACCGATACGACCCAGGAAGGAACAACGGCTGTAGTCGCCAAACTCCAATTCGAGTCACATACTTAACTATAAATGATGTCGGATATATGTTACAAGATTCTTCGGACCTAAGATATAGTAATTAGTTTTAGTATAAATATGAATTTTAAAAGTTGTCGAAAATAGTTAAAATTCCATTCGTTCTGTGGTGTTTCTGTTGCCTGCAAATGAAAGAAACCTGACTTACAGTGAATTGATCTTTAGGTGATCCCAGAAAAAGGATATCCAGTTGTGGGTCTTTTTATCTTGTAAAGCACAAAATATCAGTCAGTTATGTGCCATGCATGATACACGCTTAGGCGAACATGTATCTTTCGATACATGACTGACGATGCAGATTTTTTCCTGCATTAGGTTGCCATTTCTTTCTGCGGTAGATCAATTGCCATCCAAGGCTATAGAACCCAATCTGTTCTGCTATTTACTCATAGCTTGGGCGAGAAGAAGGGGATTCATACCTTTCCCAATAGTATTAGCACATAAGTGGATTTCAGTCAGATATGTGCCATGCGTGATACACGCTTAGACGATCATGTATCTTTCGATACATGACTCACGAGGCAGATTTTTTCCCGCAGTAGGTTGCCATTTCTTTCTGCGGTAAACCTGTTGCCATTCATGGCTATAGAACCTGGTCTGTCCTGCTATTTAACCGTAGTCGGGGAAAGAAGAGGATACCCAAGTGGATTCATAGCTTTCGCAAGTGAATGTAATTGATTCGACTGGAATTCGAACTCGGCTCTCCGATTCCTCAACCAGAGCCGCTATCCATTACTCCACCGTGCCTCCTCAAAATTTACTGCTTCTAAATAAAACGCACGTTGAGGCGTGTCTGAAGAATCCTAAGAATCATTTAGGCAGGCCACATGACAACTGGAATAATGTTCTTTGGTCCGATTAGATAAACATAGTTATTTGGCCTCATCTCACATTATGATGTTTACATGGTATAACTGCTTGGGAATACCAGATGGTGTAAGCATGGATATGCTGTGTCAAAATTGGTTGGATGCGTACACAGGAAGAGAAAGGAAAAACAATGTTAGTGCGAGTCCAATATGTCTACTAAGCATCTTAATTTTGCCGGATCTGAACCCGATTAAAAATTTGTATCGATGTTTGCCAATCTAGTAATTTTAACGGGATCAGGCAGATCAGACATGAAAAGAGGTTCAAAATTTTACATGAAAATAACCGAAATTAACGACTTCTTATATGAAGCTATTTGAGGTTGTCATTGCGAACAAAAGCGATTTTGTAAAGGATTGGATTATGTTTGATTCTTTTGACAGGTTGGGTGGGGGGTATTTTGCTTTATCTTTTATAATCTATATCAATAAAACTGATGTGTGTGTGTGCATGCTATTTATGCACATCCACATTTATCAACCGATTTCGATGCGAGGAAGTTTCACTTGTCTTGATTACTACGCAATGCGCGAAATTTGCAAATTTACCATCTGAATTGCTGGAACTGAAGAATGGAGCGCTCATTTGAAGATTTACCATGGAAATAAGAACAAAGTAGGGATAGACGGATTTCATGGTTTTTTTTCAATGGCACCAGCGCTAATTGAGCTCAACTACCTGCATTGGAATTCAAACCGTTCCCATTTTCGAAATCGATAATTATTATAATTTTGAGAGATAAACATTTCAGTAGGTAATCAATTTAAGTTTTTCATTCAACCAAACATTTCCCTTCGTTTTTTCTCCCACCTCTTTGTTAATTCCTTCCTAGATTCTATTTAGTTTTAATCTATTAGAAATTCGAAAAGATGTTTTCTTCTTTTTTTGAAATTTATTCTTTTCTTACACAGGATCGAAACGTTTCATATTTTCATTGTTAACCAAATGAGGAAACGTTTTCGCTAACGTCATTACAATCGATAAATTTTTATAAGTCTAGGCTACCGTAGAATGCATTAGCAATTTTTTACCGTTTTTTTTAATAGCCTTTCTTTGATTAAAGACATTTTAATAAAAAAAATAATAAATTTCTCTAATTTGATTGATTCGTTTTCTACAGCTTATCAACTTTTTCCGGGTTTTTTAAAGTAAGAAAATATTTTTATATTATGAGAATGTTTTGGAGATTATAATGCTTTTAGTGATACTAGCCTTCTAATTAACCCATAGCTGGGGGAAGAAGAGGTGGATTCCTACCTTTCCTACGGGTATTTGCCCGTAAGTGAATATAACGAACCCAACGGGAATTGGAACTCAGCTCCCCGATTATCTATTCCCGCAGATTCAAGCTTACAGCATCGCTTGCCTATGGATGCGAAAATTGCACCCGAAGATAACAATTTGAAATTGTCGAAAGTACTTGGCATGTATCTTCGATCTGACAACAACTCGAATACAGCAGTCTCCCATCTTGATACTGACCAGGTTCAACTTTGCTTAACTTCAGTGATCGTATGAGAACCGGTTTTTCATTGTAGTATGGCTGTAAGCACTCTTTTTCGATATATTCTTTTCTTACATATGATCGAAACGTTTCATATTTTTTATTGTTAAGCAATTGAGGAAATGTTTTAGCTAAAGACATTACAATTGATATACTTTTCCAAATGATGCTAAATAATAAAAAAACAAGTATTTTTACACGTCTAGGTTATCGTAGAATATATTATCAAATTTTTTACCCTTTTTTTTTGTTAAATACACTTCCTTTTATTAAAGGCGCTTTGAAAAAAAAAACAGTGAATTTCGCTAATTTGATTTATCGATGTTTTCATTTTATATGGCTTATAAAAGACTTTTAAAAGGACAATTTTTTGATACGTCTAGGTAATCGTACAATGCATTCGGATTTTTTTTTACCGTTTTTTAAAATAACCT